GAGCATAATTGAAATGGTGATAATTGAGAAATGTTGATTATACATATGGACCTAGGTGTCTCCTGTACACTAATCACTGAAAACCAGCCTGCAGGTGCAGGAAGCAGTAAGGAAAGCAAATTGTGTGTTGGCCTTCATTGCAAAACAATTTGAGTACAAGAGCAACGATGTCTTAGTGCAGTTGTACAGGCCTTTGAGTCCACGTCTGGAGTATTGTTTGAAGTTTTAGTCTCGTTTATATAAGAAATCACATACTTGTCGTGGAGAGAGTGCAGGAAAGGTTCACCAGACTGATTCCTCAGGTGGCAGGTTTGTTATATGAGGAGAACGTAGGTTGACTGGGTCTGTATTGACTGGAATTTAGAAGAATAAGAGGGATCCCATTGAAATGCGTGAAGTTCTGACAGTGCTGGATAGACTGGATGCAGGGAATTATGCTTCCCCCAGCAGAGGATCCAGACCAAGGGGCTATAGTCTCGGGATAGAGGGTTTGTCATTTTGGGTTGGATGAGGAGAAATTTGTCCACTCAGAGTGGTGAACCTGTGAAATTCACTACCACTGTAGGCTGTGGAGGTGAAGTCACGAAATAAAATTAAGAAAGAAGTAGATTTCTTGATGGTAACGGTTCCCAGGGGTATGGGGAGTTTGACATTAAGGTTGAGAGTTAGCCATGATCATGTTGATTGGTGAATTGGGCTCAAAAACCAAATAAATCTGGGTGGACATTTCAAATTTTCAGAACTTGGAAAAGTGAGAGATCTGATATGATTTAACCAAAGGGTGGGTGGGACAAGGACAGAGGAAGGTATTTGATGGGTTGAAAGAAAGGAAATATTGAATGACAAAGGAGTGCGTGTTGCAGGGCCAAAGGGATGGTGAGAGGGCCAAAAAACAGAAACTAAAACAAAAGATCTGCCTAGAGCAGGTGCACTTCTGTTTGAAGTAAAAAAGTATAAGTTGAACTGAAATATTTAAATAAAATGAAACAAAATAGGAGATGGTGTGAAATTCTTAAATTTTGAGAGTCCAGAACACGAAGATATCCTTTTGGGAGATGAGGTGCTACTTCTCAAGGTTACACTGCACTTCACCAAAGCAGTGGCCTAAGGATGGAGGTGATAGTGTGAAAACAAGGAACATAAGGCAATATTCTCCCAACCGTCATCATGGTTGACAGAACCTAATGTGTCTGTCGCAGTTCCCATATGTCTGAGCTCCTCCCTCCCAGAGCCTTGATATAGCCAAAGACTTCACATTGCTTCTATCAGTCTCCATATTCAGTGAATCATTTTCCATTATTTCTAACGTCTGCACTGCAGTGCCACCACCAAATACGTACTTCTCTTTCAAATTTCTAAAGCGACTGTGTCCTCCATGATACTGGGTCCACTTTACAGTCAACCCTAACACCTCATCCCCTTTATGCAAACCCAGAACATCTAATAAATGCCCTTTTACCTCTGAGATAGTAGGAACTGCAGATGCTGGAGACTCTGAGATAACAAGGTGTAGAGCTGGATGAACACAGCAGGCCAAGCAGCATCAGAGGAGCAGGAAGGCTGACGTTTCGGGCCTAGACCCTTCTTCAG